ACTATACACCTGGGAATTCTGATCATTCACATAAACTTATAGGACCATTGTCTGCCAACCCTATATATGTTCTTGGATATACTCCCCATTACACAGACATACTTAATCATTCAGCCTGTCCACCCATCTATCCACCCATATACACCCATGCTTGCCTTCACTGACAACACAGTACTGTATGTGCAAAAGTGTTCGTATTTGTTGTCTGTACCTCCCATGTACCTCTCTATGTCTTTCTCATCCTCAATGCTGCCATATTGGTCACTCACATTTGGTACATTGCCCTTTTCTTCACCCAAATCAATACTTATCTCTATCTATATAACAGAGCTCCCTTCCCTCCCCTCCCACCCCTATTAACCAACAAAGAAAATTTCCTTCTATAGATAAACCTTTCCTTAACTTTTACAATAATGGACTCATACAATATTTGTCCTTTCGTGATTGACTTATTTCACTCAGCATAATGTCCTCCAAGTTCACCCACGTTTCATATTATTTTCTGTGCTGAGCTCATTATGTTTATGAATCGTGTTATCATTTCCTTTGTTGCTGTTGTTGTAGTATATGCTGAATATTTGTGCTTGTCCTCTTTTTTATTGTGATGTAAAGGTTTATCATTTTTCTTTGAGGTTACCCCATGATTTATAATTTTCTCACCGAGTTTACTACAGTCCATTCTGTCTTGCAACTCTCTTAACTTCCTCACCATTTAGAAGTTCTGTAACTAGAGTTTTTTCCCTCTTTTTGTTTGTAGTTGTCCTCACTTGCCAATTGATGTCTCTGGTTCCCTGTTTATAATCTTGTAAGCTCATTTTCCTTTGGATATGTCCATAGCTGTGGTTTCTGGGTTATGTCACCTTGTGTATTAATGGTTGGTTGTTATTTGCTATTTTTGGTTCTCTGTTCAAAGGACTCCCTTTAGCATCTCTTGTAAGGTTGATCTGGTTTTAACAAATTCCCTTAGTTTCTGCTTATCTGGAAATCTCCTAATTTCACCATCATATGTGTGGGACAATTTTGCCTGGTATATAATGCTTGGTTGAAAATTTTTCTCTTTCAGGTTTTATATATACCATCCCATTGCCTTCTCA